CCATTAGCGATGTGAAAATGTTGCTGCTTACCGGGAAAATTGGGAAAGCAGATAAAGTTCGTTACTTTTTTTGTTTACACGATCGACGAAATTTCCGTCTTTTTTTCAAACTTTGAGCCTGGCGCACAGTCAAAGCTCGCACACGCTTATTACGTTTTCCGCTCTGAGGTTGTGATTATGTCACGTGATTGTAGCTCGCGTAAGGACTACTCCCAACAGTTACCGCGTTTCAACCGAAAACAGTTGGAAAAGTGTTCTTTCGAGAAACGTCAACCGTATCAACTCAAACCGGTTGCGGTTGAAATGGTTGATCCCAATAAAACACGACCTTTGACTGTGACGGCTTGCTGCTCCTGCTTTAGGTAATTTTTTCAGTTAAAGTATTGAAAGACACAGAAATTGATTGTTCTTCTCGGCGACAAGACTGGGAAGTTTTTAGATACCGGCTTGATGCCAGCTTCAGAAAAACGCTGAGACCTTGGTAATACTTTTTTTATATATTGATTATTCCAAACGATTTGGACGAGGGCGTTTTTCTTTGTTGTAGCAACAATATTTAATACTTGCCAATGCGATATTATGTCCTTGTAGAGAGCATGTAGCTTGCTGGTTTAAGTTTAAATATTTGTATGGCAAACTACGCTTACAATTAACAAATTGACGTCACTTTTTCATGCGTCTGTCGTCCCGTTATTGATGATGAATTTCGTCATAACAATCATTTTTCGGAACGGTATAGAACGGTTTTCAATCGCGTGTCCAAAGCAATTCTGGTAAAATGACCAGCCGCCTTCTTTTTTCGCACGGTGGATTGACAAGCCTTGTCCAAATAAAGTAACATGTTCAGTCGTATTTTCTTTGTCTGGGCGGGCAAATGCAATTGATATCTAATGATTTTACTTTTATTAACAAGTTTTATAAAAGCTTCTCGTCGTAATGAAACATCGTCTGTACATATGTCAGGGCCTCCTTGTTATATGTCTTCCGTACATATGAATATTTCCCAAGAGGGCACGGTAACGAATCCTGCAATCTGATTGGTTCTTAGCGCGGTCCGGATTTTCCTATCTCTGACCACGGTCACGGTAACGGCGCGAAACAGCACGGGTGAAATTGTCTTGTTGGTCAATTTTCGTGTGTGAACTAGCGGTAATCTTCAACCTTTGCCCTTTTTACACTTCCATCGACGATTAATCAACGCAAGTTTACCTCTATTCACTTTAAAATGGCAAGGAAAGTCACTAAGTAAATTCAATTGACTATTTTGAAGTTGCGAGAGTTTGTTTGGTTGTTCGTAGCTCGGCGCTGTAATGGCGCGTAATCCTGTATTTCTCTCGCCGCACAATTTTAAGCAAAAAAAGGTCAATTGCAGTCGAGTTTAACTCTCTGATCGTTGCTGTATTTAAGAGAATTTCTGTGGAACACACTTAACGAATTTCCCCGAATTCTGCTACTCAATTATCGCTAAAAAAAAGTCTGATTTCGAGTGATTCGCAACGACTGATAGAAATTGTTTTTGTTGTACAACTTCAAACTTTGCACGAAATTTCACACCGGAAAAACAGTTTTGAAGAACTTAACCGATGAACTAGATGCAACTAACATAAAGTAGTTCGAAATAAAGCTGTTCTGTAATACATCTTTCTTTGTCTAGTATCTGAGTTACTCGCTTGTTCGCTCGGTAGATTTTGTACGATGGTGTGTAGACAGCACGCAAGCCAATTCAATGACAAAGTTGCGTAAACAAACCAACTTGTAAGCCAATTTACCGCGGGAAAAAAATAAAAATGTTATTTGCCGGCGTAGGGTTGGTCCGTATAGTGAAAAACTGTGACATCGGGCTTGAAAATGAAGACCTCGGTCACAGTTTTTCATTATACGGACCTCCCAGCCGGCAAATAGCATATTTTTATGAGCATATGTCATCTGTACATATCCGAAATTTCGCCTGACATTAGGCCGATAATTCGGCCTTGACGGCCTCTTAGGTTAAATATCAGGTGATTTTCTTGCGATTTCATGGAGAAACACTCCACCAAAACCTCTGTGATTCAGACCACCGACATGGTATTAAGTGCGATTGATAAAAAACACTTGACGGCGGTAATTCTGCTTGACATGAGCAAGGCCTTTGACAGTATGGATCACAACTTGCTTCTTGTCAAGCTGCAAGACGTCGGTGCCTCGCCTTTAGCTTTGCAGTGGTTTCGTAGTTATCTAACCGCTCGCTATCAAGTGTCACGATTGGGACAGCATCATCGGAACGCCTGCAAGTGGCCAGTGGAGTGCTTCAGGGAAGTATATTAGGACCACTCCTCTTTAGCATTTACATGAATGATTTGCTATTAGTTCCGCAACATTGTTCTGTCCAGTGCTACGTGGACGACACTAAGTTCAAGACCAATCACGCGTAGAAGCAGAAATAAATCAAGATTGTATGAGAATACGTAACTGGTGTTTCGATAACCAGTTACTGTTAAACCCTGACAAGACAAAGCTCCTAGTTTGTGGCAGTAAACTTGGAGTCGCTAAGACTCGCAACTTCAAGTTTTCGTTCCTTGGAAAACAGCTTGCTCCAATGAAGGCTTCCAGAGAGACCTTGGAGTTATACTGGATACAAGTTCAACTTTTGACGATCGTGTCATTGCAACTGTCGCTTCTTGTATGTCGCGACTAGGCCAGATAAACCGTGTTAAACATTGCTTTGACAACCGCACTTTAATTATTATTATCAACGCGTTAGTTTTCTGTAAACTTTTTTATTGCTCTTCAGTCTGGAGCAATACTCCACAATCTAACACTGCCAAACTCCAAGTTGTTCAGAATTTTGCCTGTAGAATCGTTAGTGGGTCAAAGAAATACGATCATGTTACTCCCATTCTCAGACAACTCAACTGGCTCCCCGTGAAACAACATATGTGTTACGCGATTCAATTATGGCATTTAAATGCATGAATGGCCTTGCTCCGGGGTATGTATCTGATCACTTTATTAAGCGTTCATGAATATCAACACGCAAAACTAGAAACTCGCAGCTGTTAAATATTCCGTTATTTAAAACCGCAACTGGCCAAAGAACTTTTTACTATCGTATGGTATCTCTCTGGAACGCTCTGCCTCAAAATATTAAGTTAAGTCAATCGTTAGCTCATTTTAAGACCTTGGTGAGGAAAAGACTCTTAATGGATAGCTAACTGAATTTTTCTAGCACGGAATACTTTAAATCTTCTAATTCTTTCGCTTCTATTAAATTTGAATTTTTAAGTGCATTTAAAATTTTATTCACGTAGAATCAATTTTATTGTATTTTATTGTTGTTTTGTTATATATTTCACTGAAAAGCCCCTTGGGGACGTGGAATAAACGTATGTATGTATGTGTGCGCGCGCGCGTGCGTGCGTGCGTGCGTGTGTGCGTGTGTGTGTATATTTCGAAAGAAACTGGAGTTTGGGAGCCAATCAGAAAGCTAGAAATGGAATAACCCAAGGTTGAGTATTCACTAACAGCAGTTATTGACGTACCAAATTGTTTGTTACTTTAAAGGAAGAGGAACTGTCTCCATGCTCGGATGGCATATTTAATGGAGTGAGATACTTCACTTGCCCTCCTTCGAGAGGTTTTTTCACTCTACTGAAGCACTGCCTACAAGATTCTCGCTTTGATTCCAACACACCAGCTACTGATGCGAGTTTTCACGTTGATAGGTATGAATTGTTTCACAGATGTTCTTCTGTTGTGTTACCAATGAATGTTGAATGAAATGTAATGACAAAGTTGATTTAGATGAAGTGTCAAGGCATTTAGCCTTGCCATATATTCGCATGAGAGAAAAAAATATTTGCTGTAGTCCTACAATGTACAATTATTCTCTGTCCTGAACTGCTATAAACAAGTTCATTATGTTATTTCGGTTGCTAAAGCCCCACGCACATGCGTAAGA